TTGTCCAGGTTGCTAATGCTTTAACAACAAGCGGAAATCAATTCCCAAATCGTAATAACACAATACTGAAGCCATAAGGTTGAACCGAAAAACACCCTTGAGACTAAACTGATATTCATACAGGATACGTTGCATGAAAATGGATATCCGGACAGGTTTATAGCAAGAAACTTTCAAGACAAACCTAAGCCGGTACCAGTGTTAACAATGCCGAAAGAGCTATCTATATGGCTACCATGCATAGGGGATGTAGCTACTGAGCGGTTAACTATAAATTTTTCAGGTCGCAAATAAGTCCAGCTTCACAACAGCCGCTTTAAAACGCGCGTTTTCAAACAAATCCCTAAGTCGTTCAAGAAACAAGGACAAGGTGCAAATACTGATCACCTCCACGGTTATTTATCAGTCCGATTGCGCCTGTGGCGCAACTTATATCCGTCGGACGGCGCGGCACTTGCACTAAAGCGTGAACGAACGCTGCCCGCTTTGTTTGCATTATGGTGGCACTGCAGTCATTGGTAGCTCCGGTCTGGCCCATATCGTCGACACAACATTAGGTGGATCTGAAACGCCTCTAGAATAGTGTACAGGGCTCCTCCAAACCGATCGAAAGGTTAACGGCTAGGTACATTTGAACGGCTGAGGCAACATCATCATCATCGTCATAAATGCACGTTAGCTGAGAGTGAGAAACAAGTATCCGCTAACGTGTAGCAAACCAAAAGATCAGATAATAAAAATAACACTAACAAAAAATTTATAAAATCAAGTAACGTAAGGTTAAATATCACAGTATTGATTTGCTATGAGAACATGATTGGAGGGGGAATCTATAGCAGAGAGGATGTACAAAGAAACCCACAGCACAGACGCCATAGGGACCGGCTCCCAAATATATCTACGAGTGTGTCCAACGAAATGTGCTCGTCGTAATTCGGACACCAGCCCGGCAATCGGGATGCACCAATCGACCCCAAATTGGAAGTAAGGGTTTCCATTCCTATTAACCAAGTCATTGTTTGGCCTCCTATTCACTTCCATTCAGACATAAGGCGCGAAAACAACGCACGCGAGTTATTGAGGCATCTTGCATTAGATAGATTAGCCCCTCCTTGTGCTCCCAAAGGAAATCAATCCGTGCAATTCAGTTTCACTAGCCAGCGAAAAAACGCAGAAGACAACTGCCTCGAGTCAAAATCTGTAACACGCAAGTAACCGATTAACGCACAGTTCACTTCTATCGTTGTAACATTAACAAACTTGATCGATTGTATTCTCTTTGTTAGCCACTAGAGATGATTGTAAAGGTCGGAAGATGAATAACGAAAGGCGATTGCTCACCAAATGGTTATGTTGTTCTCGAAATCCAAATGGGAATTCTCAAGTTACTTAACCGAAAATCCTTTGAGCGACCGAAACCCGTTTTAAATGTACCGCAGTAGGAACTCCACGGACAAAATGAGGGGTTACTCAGCAACAATATACCACGCACTCCGCTGATTGAAATGCATTATTTAGGCTTACAGGTTAAGGTAGGCGTCTTAACGATGCATATGTACATTAAGCATACTAAGCATATTACATCTTATCGTTCTTTTGCTTTTTGCCTTTAAGAATTTGCCATTACCGCCCACCTATATGCCCTGCAAAGCCAGCTGTCCATTCCGGGTCGCCACACTTGATCCTCCCAGCGAAGCGGAAGTTTGTCTTGTGATTCGATACTTGAAACTATTCAAGGATGCCGGCTGACGGACTTCCTCCGGTGCTGTTCAATTATGGAGGCCCAGTTATTATTAGCCAGATAACTACATCGTTCTCCAAAATCTGGCATGAAGGAAAGGTGATTTCTTCCTGGGGCGTCAGTTATTATCCCGATTTTTAAGTAGGGTGCTCGAACATCATGCACTAATAGCCGGGGGAATAGTCTCATTTCGGTTGCCTCTAAACTATTGGCATCTATTCTACTCCGTGAACTATCTCGCATTCACAAATCGCAGTATCGGAAAGAACAAGCTGGCTTTCGATCAGGCCGCGAGTGTGTAGATCAGATATCCACACTCCGTCAAATCCTGCAACACCGCCAACTCTACCAGGAGCTTACTATCGTTGCATTTTTGGACATTCGTGCTGCATTCGACTCGGTTGATCCACTTGCACTGTCGTTGTTTGCTAAGAAACGGTGTTCCAGAAAAACACACTGCCATCCTACGCGCACTGTAGTTCCACATCTCTGGCAGAGAGGGTGTATGGCAGGATTTCGTCGTGCTTCGCTATCAATAGCGGTGTCCTTTGACGCCATTCCTCTTCAATTTTGCGAATGAAGACGTACTGTCGAGAGCTCTAAACAGTTACAAAAAAGTTTGGTCTACAGCTACTACCGCGTAAGCGAGAGACCGACTTTGATTATGCCGGTGAGATCAGGGTGAGGGTTTATGGCAAACTGTCACCACCCTTCAGTATCACCAGCGGTGTGAGACAAGGTTGCCCGCTGTCACCTTTCCTCTTCAACTTCGATATTGATGAAGTCATGGAAACAGCGTTCGCTGGACACGACCTAGAAGGTGTGGAGCTACTTCCTGGTGAGCGACTTATTGACTTGGAGTATGCGGACGATATTGTCCTAATCTGTGACAGCTCCCAAACATGCCAAACAGCATTGGACCGATTAGCACTGGCTGTCAATCGTTTTGGGCTATGCTTTGATCCATCGAAATGCAAACTACTTCTCCAAGATTGGCAGGGACCCAACTCTGCGCTAACGCTTGGTGATGATCTGATAGAAGTCGTTCAGGAATTCAAGTACCTGGGCAGTTATATTAGCACCCGTGGGATTGAAGATGAGGTTACGAACCGTATAGCAAAAGCTCGAGGTGCTTTTGCCAATTTCCGCCACCTGTGGCGCAGACGCGACATTACTCTCGCCCTGAAGGGCAGAGTTTACAACGCAGCCGTCCGTGCAACTCTCCTATATGGCTGTGAAACCTGGCCCGTCAGGTCGACAGACATAAAGAGGCTCGTCATATTCGATCAACACTGCCTTCGCATCTTAGCTCATGTCTGGTGGGAGCATTGCGTGAGTAATGAGCGTGTTCGACGTCGCGTATTTGGTGCAGGAAGAGCGAGTGAACCGCTCAGCACTATTATATCACGCACCAGGCTCCGATGGATGGACTACGTGTTGCGCATGCCAGCACACCGACTCCCGCGACGTGCATTGTTTGCGCGTTGTGGGTGCGGTTGGAAGAGGAGGAGAAGAGGCCAAGTGATGACTTGGTTGAGAGAAATGAAAACCCTCACTTCGAAGTTGGCGTCGGTTGGTGCATCCCGACTGCCTGGCTGGGGTCCTAAGGACGGTGAACACGTTTGGTTGGACACACTTGCTCATATGGCTTGAAGTCGGTTCCAATGGCGTTTGTGTTGTGAGTTCCTTTGTCCATCCCCCTCCTGTTTAACATCCCGCTCCAATTACGATCACACTTGATAAGCAAAATATGACTAGCTTTTACGGCACGACAGCCAGCTGTTAGCTCTCCGGAACGATGTCCATACGTTACTGGGGACTCAGTGGGTATGCCACTGTTTTCCTTTTCTTGTCTTTTGTATTGCGGCACAATAGCTGAGGTGTTTTCTACCTCCAGCTAACGTGTAATGATGATGATGATGATGATGATGCCGGTGAGATCGCCTTACTTGGTGATGACTCACTGAGCAGGCAAACCATTCCAGACCGTTTGGCGATTGAGGCATCTTAGTACGGAATATGCTTTGCCCCGTCATAGTGTATAGTGCTGCTTCAGGATTATCACTCACCCGTTCTCGTGCTCACTACTGAAGGTACACAGCTTGAACAAGTGGACAGCTTTGTCTACCTGGGCAACCGTGACTGCTGGTGGTACCATTGGAAGGGAAATTTTTCTACGCATCGTCAAAGCTCGGTCGGCGTTTGTCAACCTGCAGCACTTGTGGCGTCGTCGGAATGTCTCCAGCTTGGTAAAGGATCGTGTTTAAAATGTCACCGTGCTGATATATGAACGCCAGTCATGGCCAGTTGGCGTGCATGACATGCGCCGGCTCTCGGCCTTCGACAACGGGTGCTCGAGAATTACCCATGTGTAGTTGCAACAGCATATCTGCAACGGTGAAGTCAGAAGTCTGACTTAGGGAATGCGAGTATTCTCTTCAAAAAGCTGGTTTTGCTGCGCCAGTTAAGATGGCTCGGACTCGTCTTGTGTACGCCAGCTGTTTGTTCGTGCAGAGCTCGAATGGAAGTGACCAAGGGGTGCTCAACCATCCATCTAGCGACAACGTATGAAATGATTGACTTCACGTCTTGTTACCGTTGAATCCACAATCCTGCCTGGTTGGGGACCTATAGACGAAGAGTGCCGATGGCTGGAAACAATTCAGGATATGGCTCGTAGTCAAAACCAGTGGAGGATCTGTGCACATAATTGCTTAGATTAACTTGCTTAATGATTAACGACGGTAAGAAAAAGTGGCGGGTGTAAAATAACAAAAAGGCACCATTTTCGCGGCACAATAGCAAACAATAACTCCCTTTCGTTTAATGTGCCATGGTGGGGATACGGTGTAAAGCCTGTTTTTCCGGTAATTTCTATGGTTTGTTTGGCTCAGTCTATTTAATAGACTGCTGCCTATACTACTACCACCACTACTACAACTACTATTACGCATAATGAGGATGGCTGACCGTTTATCCGTGCAGAATGCGTCCGTTCTAAGATGCAAGCAACGATATGAGTAAACGTAGCTAACCGACCGCGCCAGCATCATAAGGCGGACATTTTCATGTCTTGGAACACAACTAAAGAAAGTGCAGAATGAACTGAATGCAATGTGAGAGCCTGGAAACAAGGTGCAACAAGAGGCAACCGAACGTTAAACAGAACAACCAAATCATATACACAATCTCATCTTCCCACACTAAGTCTGCATAAACGCAAGTTAGTTCTGAGTAAAAGTAGCGCCAAACAATCTACCTTGTCAACAGAAGCTGCAATGTGAACGGCAGGCTTTGACCAGCATTTCGAAGCTATAAGCTCTCTTTCAATACACGCGAGCATCTCTAGATGTTTGTCCAATCGTGAAGATGAAGACAAATCAATCTTTTTCCAGTTGTGATCATAACGGAACTTTAGGCAAGTGAGAAAGATGTGGCACAGTCCACCACCGGGTTTGAAATCCATAAAGCATTGCGCCGGAAGTTTAATAAACTGTTTGGACTAAAATTTATGAATCAGATATAAGCAAAATACACTGCGCAACATTGTGGATTCCTGAAACTGTAACAACTGGAAGCATAGAGTAGCGAGACTTTTGTTCGTGGGTGGCTCAGCTTGCGTATACTTTTTGTGGTTCCTAGTAAGCCAGGTGCGAACAGGATCGAAGGTAGCTATAATCTCTGGATTCTCGTAGAATCGTGTAGACGGGTTACCGTCCTTCGGACGAGAAAACCCCATAATATGGTAAGGAAGAGGAATGACCTATCACATTCAATACGTCGTAAGATTTGCCGATAAAAGCGAATGGCTACGGTGACTGGTACAGCTTTTACCATTAAAATTAGTACCGCGTTGTTCCAATAGTCGGTAATTAGGATGAACCTAAGAAAGATATTCTCATATACATTAAAGTTAAAGCCCCTTTTGCTGACATGAAAATGTGTACAAATGCTCCCTGCGCTGATGTTTCTACGAATCACCCAGTTCACTAAACTTAAGTTCAAGGTTAAGTTCGAGTTCAGGTGGGACTGGAACGTTAGGATGAATCCCGTAAGTGTTCCTTCTTTAGCGGGTCGTCCATCCAGGAGTTGATAAGCGTGCTCCGACTTCTTGATGTGCATAAAACGAAAGCCCTGGAAAGAACACACTGGTCTAACAATTTACAGCCCACCTTCCTTGCATTAGCTGTCCCTGCTATGTCAGTTAATTGAAGTAAGGAAGGAAGGAAGAACAATTGAAGGTAAAGGGTGGGGGAAAGCAGTTAAAAGAAGAGCATGATACTAATTGTGAGGGAAAGTACAGAAAATAGCATCGAAATATGATGATCGGAATTAGTCTGGAAAAAGGAATGGTTCCGTGCTACCACCAACAGCAGCTAGTTGACGTTCAAACGCCTCAACCGTAGATTCTTTGACAACATTTTTTGGAAGCAAGTTCCAGCACTCGATGGCTTGACGCGCTAACGGTGTCTCCGCTCTAACTCGATCGGACCGTAGTTTGTCCAGCTACATGCAATTCACGCGGAAACCGGATGAACTTGCAGACTTAAATAGCCAGGACAAATCAGATCCAACCTTCCCATTCAACCTACGGTAGGTTAGGATTAGGTCCCCTCTACTCCTTCGCTAGTGCATTGAATGAATACCCAAACTAAGTAGGCGTGCGGGTAACGTTTGTTCTCGTAGCCCTTTGGCCCACCTAGTACCGCCATTTCGTCCCGGACAAGGCATAGTAGACAGGCCTGAACGCGAGATTTTAGTTGGTGTCGCACAAACGCTGAAAACATTTTCACAAACACGTTTAAATGCAAATCTAACTATAAATGGGACAAAAACAAAAGGAAATTCCCAAGGTCGAGCTATCCAGGATGGGTCGTTCAACCACGTTGGATTGCAGGGACAAGTGCAGCCAGTTAAGGGTGCCCAATCAGCATGTACACATCGAAGGATCAACCAAACAAAACCCGCGTGCCCTGCGCCAGCCATCACTGCTACGCCGGCAGCGTGAAATAAAAGTAGGAGTTGAAATTTGCGGACTAAGCATAAAGTGAAAGGGTACGAGAGAGTGAAATTAAGGATGATATAAATTATGATAGCTGGAGAGCAAACAAAAACTACATTAAGAGGAGAAGGGAGACTTTTAAAGCTGCAAGTTGTATGTCTCGAGGCGACGTTTAAAATATGTCACCGTAGATGATAAATCTACGTCCTCAGGCAGCTCGTTCCAAGAAACTATCACTCGGGTTGATAAACGTGGGTGAGTCCGAACTCAAGCAAATCTGAGTTTGTACAATTTCATCAGACCCCTGCCGAGAGTAGGTAACGGTGTTGAATGAAAAAGCCGAGAGATGCATGGACTCTTCCGCCCTATCCCTATTCGCCTTAAGCACCAGGTCGCTACCGAGAAGACGATAAGGTACCGAACCCCTCCGTAGAATGAGCAACCTGTCAGGAGAGGTGCCGAAACCCGTAAACCATTTTGGTACCGGATCTCAACACCCTCAAAACCGCCATCCTGTCACGAGGCAGGCAAGCAAAACAAGCTTGGACGCAAAACACCAGGTGCGGTATACCAAAGCCGTTAATTATTTACCAAACAGTACCATAAAGTAAGTAAAGAAGCGGAGGATATTCAATTCGATACTTCCTATCAAACGAATACATTTGTGAATCAAATTATTCGAGAGACAAAAGCTCGTTGACGCTTGTACAGAATGCAGCCTACTCATTAACTAGGCAGTATTGACACTAACTCATAGGTTTAATCAATCAGATTGTCGCCTTCGAAAGCGCGTGAACAAGGCAGATCATACGTCAGGCACAAGATGAATACAATTTCAGGTCCGGTAGCAAAGTGCGTTGTTCCACAGCTCTGATTTCAGAACCTGGATTGCCATGGCTTTGGAAGTGGTCAAGTGGCGTTTCTTAAGCTGTTTTGCACAGCGTTTAAAGATGGTATGGAAGGTATCATCCGGTTTCGGATTCTCCTGTCACTGTGGCAAGCCACAGGACGCCTGAGCCTACAGAGGGACCACGGGAGGCTTGCGCTGCACCATCCACAGCTCCAACCACAAACCACATATCCAGTGTAATCCCGAAGGAATAAGCCCCAAAGGCTGCTGGATAAGAGCCATGTTTCATCAACGAAACCGGTCCACACTACTTCATAGCCAAACACATGTCCGCTGTAGTTGAGGAAGCAAGAACACACAAGGCGGTGGCTGGACCGTAGTCCGTTCCACACTGAGGGCATGGAACCACTCCTCCAACCTAGCACTACCACAAAGAGCATGAACCCCATCCCTTCCAGCAACGACCAACTGTCTACTGGAGCAAGTATGGACGAGGTAGAGGTAATAGACAGGTAGGCACCTTGTCCACATGCACATCAAGAGCAGCCACACCTAAGATGTCAAACCAAAGACAATCATTCGAAGTGCAAATGTCATAGAAAGGTCTCATATATATATATATATATATATATATATATATATATATATATATATATATATATATATATACATAAGCAACACAAACATTTGATCATGCCTTTAGAGGTGTGTCTCGTTTTACAGAGAATATACCACTTAATTATTTATTTATTTATTTATTTATAACCACGAACCTTGCCGGACTTATTCAACAAAACGGTGACTCTCGGTACCCACTCCAACATAGACCCTTAACCATTACCCTACCTACAGCCCGAAACGACGTGCCTAACAACATCTTGCTTTAAAGTTTCGCTCGCGGCTGGAACAGGTTATGATTACAAGTTAGGGCAGCCGAGAATACTGCACTGCTCCGCTCATCCCTACTTAGACACCTTGCTACCCTGCCTATCTGCGAGCTCGTTAACACCAAGATACCGGAGGACGAACTTTGGAAACATGGCCCAGAGCACCTCTGAATTCGAAAACCTAACAAATCGGACACAGTCCCCACCTGTCTGGGACTGTCTGCGTCACATACCTTTGCTGTTTGTCGGCTTGGCAAGAGCCATTCTTCGTAGGCTCTAACCCTGTCGGTTCGGTTGACCTAATAGATTGTTCAAATGCCTTCGGAGACCTCGTTAAATTTAAACCCTTTATCAATAAAACCGTCCTCAGCCTTACACTGCCCTATCCTTGTCGGCGTGTCTGATGGCATTCCTTGTAACTAAACAGTCAAATCTGTACCTTGCTTTTATCTAATCTAATCTGACCAGTCTCTTGTTTCCTGACTGCATCCATACTACCGAGACCTAAATGATCTAGGCACTACATTTCCAATGTACCGAATCACTTACCCAGAGAATTTTGCTGAATTAGCTTACTCTCTATCAGTATAGCCCCTTCCCTCACTTAACCTGTTCATCTCCGCTAACCTTCTCTCTTCGTTCTCAAACCTTAAGTAATTGACTCAGTCATGATCCGCCGACTAAGCCAGTCTCGCCTGATCAGTCTACAGCTTCTCGACTTCGCAGACTACTGTGATATTACCGGCCAAGGTTGAGAAGATCAAAAACACCCTGTCCACATTACTTTGACGGTCTCGCTGACTTTACTACTCCCAATCAGTAAAGATCTGGATTCTGTCCTTGTCATTTCCGTACTGCGCTCTCTGTCTTCATTGTACGCCGATTAATCACATATCGCCTGAAAGACCTTTTACTCTCCGAACACTCTCAAATCACTGGTACGTTAACGGTCAATGTATGGCCGACGGATTACTATGCATGCCTCCGTAGTTTCTTTTCCATACATCTTGTCCCAGTATTTGCATTATCGCGCTCGTTATATTCCTTCCTTCCTCAATCGGACGGCCACCTCTCAGTGCCCTGCCAAGACTCCATTTCCTTATCTCCGACCGCTTCTATGCTACAGAGACACAAACGGTATACGCTCTACGGATTCGATGATTTTATGCTCCCCACGAGAGCCTGCAAGACTTTTTCACTCTCCCTTGGTATAGCCCTTTTATGCTCCTCAACAGTACGACTTCATTTAGTAAGGCTCAATAGGCCTCCTGCTCTCCGAACTCACTCAGACTTCTGATATGCTTCCGCACTTGCTCGGTTGTCTGAATGGATCTGTTTTCATTACTTGGAGAACGTCGTGGGCTTTTCCACACTTTACCCATAATCCATTACCATCTCGAACCTCACCTTGTCTTGCTTAACGCGCACTGTGTTTTCATCTCATTTACAATCGAACGGCAGACTTTAATGCCCTGCGGTGATCTTGTCTCGCCTGACCAGTCTCTTGCTTTATGAACGCTCACTTACATCGGTAACCCAAGCGTTGTAGACCCTGCAAGCTCAGCGCTAGGTTTACATAGCCCAAGAGCCTGTTAGAATTGTCCACCATTATTTGACAGCTCATTTATTAAATTACCTCATGTCATTATCCAGACGCGACGACCAGTCAAGTACTACCCGATCGGCCTACTGCTCTCCTGATTCATTCAGACTTCTGAGACGTCACCTCTAATGGTTCGGCGGACTCAACTACCCAAATTCATTACCCAGAGCTTCGTGCGCTTTTCCCAGCTTGCGTAAATAAACCTTTCCCATCCTGACCCTAACTTTTATTATCGTGCTTTGTTTTTATTGCTTCTTCAATTGGAGTGCCCGATCTTACTGCTCTGGTCACACCGACTAGACACTTCCTCTATGAATGCTCCAATGCCACTCGGAATTAAGGGGTATACGCTACGCAGACTCAATGCCCTTGTTCCCCTACCCGGAGATTCTACTTGCTTCGCTAAGTCTATGTTGGACCGGATTTATCCTGCCATTACTTTTACGCGCTATTCCTACGCGCCGAATAACCCCGTCTCGCCAGGTGGGCCAAGGGGCATTTAAGTTT